GACTTTTTACTCAAATTTAAATTTGAGTCTAAATTTAAGTAAGGGTCGAAGATGCCCTTAATAAGTCAAAAGCACTTTAATCACTTAAATAAGTAATTAAGTAAAAGTAAAATAAAAAGTAACTTCTACTTTTTTAAAAACACTTATCCATAAAGTATTTTTTATTTAAGTGTTTTTTTGTTTAAGCATCCAAACGGTGTTTATTTAATGAAAATATTTTTTTTTATAAAAATACTTATTTAAGAAATAGTTTTTAAATTTTATAAGTCACCACAAATGCAACCTAAAATTATTCCTCTTCATAACTTTTGAAACTAGCTAGCATCAAGGGGCGAGTTGACTAACATTAAGGGACTAGTCCATTAATATAAGAGTTAACTATTTATTTGGCTCCGGAATTATATTATTTGTGTCAATTATGATTTTAAACTCTATTTTGTGTCAATTTAGTCTCTGAATTATACAATCTGACTCAATGCGGCCCTTCCATCTAAATTTGATATGTTAATTTTGACAAAAATTCTCATGTGCACTTTATATGACCTCTAAACTATAACTTAATTTCCGACTCACGTGACATATACGTTTGGATTTCTGTCAAAATTAACTGTAAATTTTGACAAAAATGCCACATTGAGTCAAATTGTATAGTTCAGGAGCTAAATTGATACAAAACAAACTTTAAGGGCTTCATAGACACAAAACAGTATAGTTCAAGAATCAAACAGATAATTAACTCTTAATATAACGGCCTAATAAATTTGGCTTGTCACTAACTAAGTAGGCGTGTTCGAGTCTTTAAGACCCATCAAAATCTATATTGTACTTGGGTTTGGGTCTCATTAGCCATAGGCTGATGCATTATTTTAAAGAAAATGTTATTTGCATATAATTTGGGACTTAATCAATAACAGTTGTTAGATTGAAAGTCATTGACATAAAATAATTAAACTCATAATCAATTCGATAGACATATTGACTTAGATATTCAAAGAGCAATGTTATTGAGACCTAATTTATTATGACATTTGAATTGACTGCGAAACCCATTAAACATTGGAACTTGGTGTTGATGAGTTCTATTGAAGCCATATTATTATGTCAGAAAATAATGTCAGATTTTTAGATCCAAATAATATTACTCATATTCAAATTAAGTTTTTATATCCCACAACGAAAGTATAGCCATTCTCCTCATGAATGGAATCGAATCTTGAAGAGCAATTTTGGACAAAACAAACATTTTGGACATGAAAAACAAACCTTGAAGCACCCACTTCCAAGCCATGGCATGTTGGCATCCTTCCCTCTTAGATTCCTACACTTATTTCCTTTAGCAAATTAGGCCTGTTTGAAACTGACTTTTTTATGTGAAAAATGATGTTTGAAAAGTTTTACAAAAAAAATCGGAGTTAAAAAATTTTCCAAAATTGTTTGGGGTGTTCTTTAAAAAGTTAAAAAAGTCCGTTTGAAATGACATAAAAAAATAATTACATGTATGTATAAATTATGTATAATAGTTCTCAAAATATGAATTTCAAATTTTCTTACGTCACTAATAATGTTTTATAAATATAATAAACTAAAAAGTTATGTAGAACCCGAGACAAATCTCTAAAAATCTAAAAAAAAAAGCTCATAAAATCAATTACTTGAATTGGCCTAAATAAGTCCTTTTGATTTAAAAAAAACTACTGCATAAACTAATAAACAAAATCAAAGTCTAAACGAATATGACTTATTTTACTCTAAAACCTTTAAAAACTACCTATTTAAACTAACTCCAAACAAACTCACTGATCATTTCAATAAAACACACCCAATTTAATATTGTTAAAGGAGACAAGGAATGTAGTAGATTAGGTACAAGTACATATAATTTTTAACATTATTTGCATAAAAGAACTGTCTTTAAGGTTCAAACCACCGACAAACTCAAAGTTATTGAGTCGAAATAACCTCATTTATATTTTTAAAATTGTTTATAACAGATGATGAGATTTGAACCCTAAGACATACACATTGACAGCATTTTTTTGAGTTGGCATTTGGACACATCTATCATATCCATCTCATTGGAAAATTATTAATGTATGAAAAAAAATGTATTTTTGCTAGAGAGATGGTTGAGAATGTTGTGGAGAATGATGCAATTGAATCTCCTCAACTGATGATCAACATAACCCAAATCAGAGAAATATAGGGTTGTTTTGCTTACATTTTTTGTGTTTTTTTTTTTGCTTTTTTATGTGTCTTAATTAAATAAATTGTTTGAAAAATAGTAACTGTTCTTTCCAAAAAATCTAAACCCATACCCTCAAATCGTAGCAGATCAAAGATAAAATTGGTTTCTTGCCCCCATTCTGTTCAATTCAACCCCTGAAATTTGAGAGATTTCTTTGACCAAAACCATAATAATCCATTCCTACCCCCCCCCCCCCCCCCCCCCCCC